AAACATTGTGCACTCTCTTTCTGTATTCAAGATTTTTTAGCTGTTTAAACACAAGTTTAGTTGAGAGTAACTTACGTGATGATCGAAGATCTGCCTTTGAGTATATAAGAGGAGGTCCTTGAGGTTCAGTGATAATGGCGTGTCAGAGGCTGGAGGCTGTGAACCACACCAGTTGCAATGAACGTTTTTGGGCGGGGCTGATTGTGCCACACTGACACTCCCAGTGCCAGCGGGATGAATGAAGAGGTTGGAGAGGCAGGAAAATGGAAGAGGAGCAAGGTGGTTTTTTGTTCTGTTTTGTTTCTAATTAATTTTTTGGGGGGTGGTTTCTTTTGGGGAGGATGATGCAGGGGTAATGGGTAGATATGGAGGGAGGTGAACAGGATTTGGGTGCTTGGTGTGAAATTCCCAGAGAAGTCAATAAAGAGTTACATTATATATAAAAAATTTGCCTTTGAAATAATGCAGTCATATACCATGTGATTCCACTTATGTGAGGTATGTGGAGTTACTAAACACACAAAAGGAAAGATTGACTGGCAGGAGTTGCTAGGGGCTGGAGGAGGGAGGAATGGGAAGTTACTGATTGATGGGTAGAAAGTTTCAGACAAGATGAATAAGTTCTGAAGGTCTGCTCTTCAACCTTATTTTTAAAAAGAGAAAAATTATTACCTAGTTTCTTTATTTATAATAGTCTTATGTAAGAGAAATGACATACATCCAGAACAACTTTAGCTTTCTGGAAAATCTACCATGCTGCCCTTACCTTCTTTTTAATTTTCTAAGGTAGGAAGAGTAACGCTCTCTGCTCTTAACAGCTTCGGAACTTTACAGCACAACCTTGTCTCCGTTGTCCCTGAACCAATGAATGTACTCAGGCTGAACACAATGCGGGCTTACTATCTTTGCCCAGTAGGTCAGAAGTCCAGTGCTAACCCAAGGTGTTAGAAGGGCCACACTCCTCTCCAGAGGTCCTAGAACAGAATTCTTGTGGACTTAGGTTGTTGACAGAATTTCGTTCCTTTCTGCTGTAAACCTAGGTCTGTTTTGCTGCCTGGCAACTGAGGCTGACCCAGTTTCTGGAGACTTTCCTTGGTAGTCTCCTTCCTTTGCCTTCAAAACCAGCAGCATAGGCCTTCTTTTTCAAGGTGCTCTCTCTGACCCCCTTGTTTTGCTTCCATCTTAGCCTCTATTAGCTCTTCAAGGTCAACTGGGCCCATTCGCATAAGCCAAGGTAATTCTGATGAGTGTGCCATCTGAAGGTGTCGCAGAAAGTAACAGGTCTTAGATACAGACATCTGTGGTGTCACTATCCTGCCTATCATGTTCCAGTGAACTGAAATTTTGCTGGGCTCTTTAACAGGTCATCTGTCCTCACCTATTTATTTTATACTTTGCATTGTTTTCTTACATTTGCATACAAAATAATGGATTTTCTCTGGTATTTCCATACATACTTTGTTCTTGTTGATCCTGCTTCCTCATGCCTCTTATCCCCATGCCCTTTTAGTCTTTCTCTATACAGTAACCCCTGTATTTAATATCAGACATGTTTAGTACCCCCCTGCTCTAAGGACCCCTTCTTCACCTCTCATGGCTTACACTCACACCCATACCGACATGTATCTGTGTGTATTTGTGTGTGTATGTATGTGTGTTTGTATACATATACAAATTAAAATCTAGGAGCCACATAGGAAGGAAAACATACAGTGTTTGTCTTTCCAAGTCTGGCTTACCTTGCTTAATGTAATAATCTTCAGTTGTATCCATTTCTTTTTTTTGCAAATATGACAAAAATTTTGTTATTTATAATCTATCTATTAAGGGATACATACCACATTTACTTTGTCGATGGACATTTAGGATGGTTTCATTTATTAACTACTTTTTTTATTAAAAAGAAGTGACCTATCATACAGTAGGTTATATCCATTGAGCCTAGCTCAGAGTGCTCTTTACTCAGGAGCCTGACAGGCACGTTTTTATTACCTTCATTTTACAAGTAAGGAAATTGCATTTTTGAGGAGTTAAGCAATTGCTGAAAATAGTTCAGGACTCTAGAGTGTGTGTGTGCGCACACACTTGCAGGCATGTGTGTTTGTGTGTTTGTTGTGCACTCACACGTGGGAGTAGAGTTCAGAGGACAATGTCATCCTCAAGTGCTGTTCATCTGGGTTCTTTTGTTTTGAGAGTTGGTTTTTTACTGACCTGGGATTTCCCTAGTCTAGGCTGGCAGGCTTCTGAGCCCAAGGGATTCTCCTGTTGTTACCTTCCCACTTCTGAGATTACAAGAATGTGCCACCATGCCTGCATTTTTTTTTCAATCATGGATTTTGGGAGTCAAAGTCACAAATTCCTGTCTAGTTCTAGGACTCACAGATTTTAGGAGGATGCAAAGCTTCTAATATTTGGCTGGCCATATTTAGTTACTTATTACTGAGATCGAGTACCTGATAAGGGGACCTTAAGAGAGGGAGAGCTTATTTGGGGTCTTGCTATGAAGGCACAGTCCTCATGGCTGGAAAGGCATGGTGATGGCGTGGCTCTTGCGGTGACTCTTATTTCCTCACATCTTAACAGAAGAGTGCAAGGAGTGTTGGCGCTCCACTTGCTTTCCTGTATGCTTAGTCTGCGACCAGAGACCATGACCATGGGATGATTCCCCCACACTTGGGGGAGAGCTTCCTGCCTCAGTTTAACCTCTCTGGCAACACTTTTACAGACACAACTCTGCGTCAGATTCCAAATCCAGTTAAAATGACAGTGAAGATTAACCACCACACTGACAGTCCACCTTGACATAGCAGTGCATAATAATTAGAGACCAATGTGTTGATGTTTCGAGCTTTTCAGAAACCATTTCAGTTTTGCTAACATAAATTGTTATTTGTGTTCATAGACATGGTAGTAAAACATTGAAAAACAAATATGCATTATAATCACATAAGGAAAATATCTTTTTAAAGAAAACTTGTTCTGAAAATACAGTAGATTTTTTTGCTTATTCTTAAATCACAAACTGCTTTTTGAAGTGAGAATGTTGTTTCCTTTGAGATCATGGTACTGTCTCAAGAGCTCTTAATTTGTAACGTGGTCATGGGTGGGTAGGTCCAGTATTTTTTTAGTGAGATATTGGTTCTGATTTGTATTATTATAAGTGTTATATATCTGAACAAGGCCATGTTCCTAGCAACAGATTGTTTTTCTCAATCAGTAGAATGGAATGCTTTGCCTGCTTATTTTCTTCATCTGAATTATTTTTCAGAAGCTTGAAAATTTGGCACCTTATTTTTTGAGGTTGAGATATTGGTAGGTATGGATAGAATGTGTCTAAAGAATATCATTAGATATACTTGGCAAGTAGTAAATAAATTTAATTAGGTGGGAAGCCACATTACTTTAGGGCAGCCCCAGTAGTCAGCCATGATTGTGTTACTTTCTTAACTTTCTTTTTATATCTTTGTCTTTGGATTTTTGAGGCAGGATTTCTTTGTGTAGCCCTGACTATCCTGGAACTCTCTCTGTAGACCAAGCTGGCCTCGGACTCACAGAGACCTGTCTGCTTCTGCCTCCCAAGCGCTGGAATTAAAGGTGTGGACCATCACCCCTGACTTATCTCTTATTTTTTAATGAATCGCTCCCCCCTTGAGACTCTGTGTGTAGAATAGACTGGCTGTAAGCTCCCAGTCTTCCTTCCTCTGCCTTCCAAGTGCTTAGATGATAGGTCTGCAGCGCTAGACCCCTAAGCTCTCTCCTATTCCATTTGTTCATGCAACAAATATTTGAATGCGGTGTGCACACATATGGACACACACATGGGATGGAGGTGGGAAGTGACTGTGCAGGGAGGGCTTAGCACTAATAATAGGTCCTTTAGAGTTCCATCAGGCCAGCTACTGTATTTTGTGTTGAATCACCAGGCAGTGCATATGGTCTTGTTCCCCAGAACTCCTCTATAAAGTGCTATGGTGTTATCATGGTGCCCATCTTATCATCGAAACTTGGATGCTCCTGTGAATGAGAGAGGACAGTGTTCATTATGCTGGTATGATGGGCATAAAGCAACACATAGAGAACTGTTCTAAACCGCTTGAGCAGACTTTAGAATTGCCCAGAAGCTATGCTGTGCACTGGCAGTCGGTCACATGCTCTTGCTTTCGCACCCCCCCTTCACTCATTAGTGCTGATGAGAGAGGCCACCAAGGCCACCTGCATCAAGTCTAGTCTCCCGAAGCACAGCCTCTCGGCCTGCCCAGCTGCAACCCAGAGTTGTTCAGACTGCCAGTTCATGAGTTTTGATCTTTGATATCCAAGCAGGTCTTATTAATAGGATTTCAGAATCTAAGCCTTAAAAAATACAGAAAAGGAAAGCCTGAACTTAAGCACATGAATTTTCCCCACTAGAACCTTTTCTACATGTCTTCCCATGGATATGACCTAATTAATTATACGTTCTCCAAGGATAGTCAGGCAGAATGGTTGTGGCTCAATTTAAAGCTCTTTAAGAGTGTACGTTTAATGAATTGACCTTGTGGATAATGCAAGAAGCTCTCTTAACGTCTCTCAAGCCCTCTATGTCAGTGATAGTGGCATGTAGTAATAAATACAACTTTTAAGAAATAAATCTTTTGAATATTGATTTGATTTTGCTTTTATGGAATCAACTGTTTGGCTGGATCTATAGAATAAGAATTCCTATAGCCCTTTTTTCTGTTCTCTGTACCTAAGCTACTTTTCCCAACAGGACACTGAAGGAAATGGACTAATCTCTTCAGTCTCCTGAGAAATGGGTCATCCTGTATTATATCCTCCTTTAACATATCTCATTGCAGTCCTAGTTGATAATTCGGGGTCTCAAGCCCTTCTTTGACACCCCACCTCAGACCTTCAACAAAATGACTTGACCACCTTACAAGGAAATAATAATAATTCATGTTTATGTTCAGCCAAATACTGAAGACATCTTGACATTAAAGCTTTGTATTTTCTTTTACAAGCCAGGAAATGTGAAGAACTCACCTGGAAATAAATAGAAAACTCCATGTTCTGTCCATTTTAATCAGGTAAAGAATAAAACAAAGAAACAAAGACCTGGTTATTTTCAGCGTTGTTAGTGCTAGCTAAAATGATTTCTTGTTAATTAATTAATTATAGCACTTTCACCTTGATGTGGAAACATAAGGGTCATATTTTATTCTGTCTTTAACTTCTGGCTTTAAATGCCATTACTTATTTAATTATGTTTGTGTTTCTTTTTGAGAAGTGCCAGAATTTTTTTAGATAAACTAGAACCAGACAGAGGTTAGAAACTGAATGCAATTTCTTTTGGTCTTATATTCAACTCACTATTACTCATGGTTGTTTAATATTTACTTACCAAGCACCTGCTAAGTATAAAAGTATTAATTCTATTAGTATTTTGTGTATGTTAAAATTATATAATAGATCTTGTCATTTCCTGATAATTAGCAAATTATAAGGAATTAAAATTTAACCTAGGTATTCAGCTGCATGAAATTAGCTTAGTTATGATAGATCTATAAAGAGGATTATTATTGTTTCAGTTATACTTAATTGCATGGGAGCATGTACAATTTTTTGTGGTACTGGGGTTGAACCCAAGGCGTCACACATACTGGGCAAGCACTCTCTCTCTACCCCTGAGCTATACCCATAGCCCTCACGTTCCCTTTTATTTTCTAGACACTTTTTCCATAAAGTTGCCTGGACTGGGCTTGAATTTATAATCTTTAAGTCTCAGCTTCCTGTGTAGCTAGAATGACAGACCCAGAGCTACAATTATTAATTAGAGAAGAAAGGTGGTATATTTTGTTAGATCAGGAGGTATATAGAAAATTTAAATGTGCATTTTTATTTGAACTTTATTTTTTTCATATTTCCTGCCATGAATATGAGTTTTCTTTTATAATCAGTTGTGTGTGTGGCACTGAGATTGAACCCAAGGCTTCACACATGCCAGGCAAGCATTCTACCAGTGAGTCAAAAGTCAGCCCATCTTAAAAAGTTGTGTTATATTGTTGTTTATCACAGTTACTGTTTAAAATGCCCCAAACTCTGCATTTGAGGCTTTCCTTTCTCAACTATCTCCATGTTCTTAGAGAGCCAGAGCGTCACATCACTTGAAATTTGAGAGGTCATGCAGTGCAACTCCCAGCCCTAAGCAGAATCCTCTGTTGCTCTGCTCATCACCCCTTTTTACGCTTCCATTGGTAGGAAACACATCACAGGGCAGTTGTCTTTGGACACTCCTGACAGTTTTGGAAGCTGCTGCTTATCGTAAGTGAAAGATATTGTCTTGTGACTCCTGAACAGCGGTCCTGATCCTAGTTGACGTGTCCCAGCAATCTAGTTCCCCTTTGACATTGATGCTAATGCAAAGTCAGTAGTTCTCTGCTGTTAGACAAACAATTTAATAACTACCCCGAGCTCTTGTTAAAGGGTAGAGGCCCAGGCTCCATCCCAGAATCAGCACTTTTGTGTATATGGCGGCAGAAGGGAGACTAGAGAGCGAGCTTCCAGAGGGCCATACAAGTCCTTAGATACTTTATATAGAATGTGTTTGTATTTCTCTATAGGGATGAAATCTAACAAAGAAAAAGTTGGTAATAAGCCATTTCAGTGTTCAGAGGGTTCTAGACCAGGGTTCAACTTACCCTATATACAACCTTGATTTTTTTAGTCCTGAATTTTTAGAACTTTATTGGTGGTTTAGTTTTTAATTATAAGAGCAGTAGGGGGTTAGGTAGCTGGCTTAGTCAGCCAAATGCTTGCCATGTAAACATGATGACCTAAGATTGGATTCCCAGCACCCACATAAACAGCTAGGTGTGGTGGCATGTTCCTGTGGTCCCAGCACTGGAGAGGTGGAGACAGATGGATTCCTGGAGCATGACGGCTGGAATCTAGCCGATTCAGTGAGCTCCAGGTTCACTGGGAGAGTCTGTCTCAAAAATAAGGTATACAGTGTTGAGAAAGATCCCCAATGTCGACCTCTGGCCACCAGGCACATGTGCACCTGCGTGCACATGCATATACATACACACACACACTATGCACACATAAAATAAAATGACAGTCTATGTTGGTTGTAGCTATTGTTTTGGAAGCTAGGGATGGAACCTGAGACTTTATACATGGTAGACAAGCACTCTATCTCTGAGTATACCCCAGTCCCAGATAAAAATTTTAAAAGCTTTCTGGTTATTATTCCTTTCCCAGAGATAGTTTCTGCTCATAATTTGGTACACTATAGACATTTAAGTATGCATGGATTTAAATAGATAATACACATTTGTATGCTTTTGGTTTTTTTGACTGCAAGTACACAAAAAAGTCCAAAAAGGTATGTATAATTTTATCATCATACCAAAAGAAACTAACAGTAATTCCTTAATACCCTCTAATATCTAGTTAGTGTATAGATTTTCCTGTTTGTGTCAGTAATAACTTTGGTGTTGTTATTTTGAGATACATCCTCATTACATCGTTCAGGACTTGTGATCCTTCCGCCTCAGCCTTCTGAGTGCTGGGGATACAGTCTTGTTCAGCCATACTGGCCTTTCATAATAATTTTTTAGTTGGTTTATCAAATATTATCTGTCCTTCACATTTTAGTGAATAATCTCTTATTTGTCTTTTAAATGTAATAGTTTCTTGTTCCTCATTTATTCATCGAAAAACTTGGCTTTTTTGGTCTTAAATTTGCCATGTTCAAATGGTGGCTAAATATGTCCACTTAGTGCCAACTCTCCTTTTCTCTTCATTTCCTTCTTCTTTTCCCATGTAGCAACAGTTGGATCTGAAAGCTTGATCAGATTTAGGCTTCATTTTTTTGTTATTATATCTCATAGATAGCACTATGCTTAGGTGTGTTTAATAAGGAATTTGCTTCTTCAACTGGGTTTATTGTGTATATTCTCCATCCGTATTTGTAGGCCTACTTTGCCCCTTCTTTATTTACATAGTTCCTGGTCTATACTTTACCATAGCTTACTTAATCCTTGTTAATATAGGTTGCTTCCAGAATTTAACAAAACAGTAAATCAGTTATATTCTTAGGATGTCACTAAAAGGTGAATAAACTGAGAGAGACCAATTAGCTAGTTGTTTGCATGTTTAAGAAATTTTGATTTTACATTAAAAGCTCAAGGGAAGTCAGTCATTGGCTTCTCAGATGTTGGGCTGTATGCTCAGTGCTAGAGTGCTTGCTTAGCGTGTGTCAGGCCCCAGGTTCAATCCCCAGCACATAAAAGATTTAGAAACTTCTAGAGCTGTGCAGGCTCATCATATATGAAGGAAAAGACAGTCTGGAGAAGATTAAGCTTGGCTTTGGTGTGTGTTTGTGTGTGTTTCATCCCTGGAAGGAAGGGTGTGAGGGAAAGGAAGGTATGAGGAGAGACATTCAACTGTCTGAGGATGATGGGATTGCGCTCTCCTTCAGTGATACATGGAAGTATGTCCTGGTCCTCAGAGGGCAAGAGGTGCATATATTCGCTGTGCCATTTAGGCATGTACTTGGCATCATCCACATACCTCAGTATGCTTGGGTACTCAGCCAGTTGAAAGTCTGGATATAGTATGGATGGAGCACAGTCTGAGTTTTGGCTCACTCTTCTGCAAAATGAGCCTAGGTGCTGTGTTTTCTAGCTCATTCTTTTTATGGTGATAAAATAGTAATGTAAAAACTTATACTGTTTATTAATTTAAACCTAAATACATTTCAAAATGCATAATTTTAGCGTCATTTTTGTTTTCCTGCGTACAGTTAACTTATATTTTTCTTTCTTTTAGTTATAGGTAAACATTGGAAACTCCAGACGGTAAATCAGTATTTCTACAGACAAATGGCAGAGAGTCAGTATTGGATATAGTAAACTGGCTTTCTTCAGGAAAAACAACACTAAGCCTCTTTGCTATCTTGGGTGATGCCATATTACAGGCCAACTAATCAGCAGTCCTTCACATGGAAATAATGTACAAGCCTTAGAACTTCTCATTCTTCTATCACTATTTATGTACATAATTAAAATCCAGATTCAAACAGAGCTGGCCTGCTTTCTTTACTGATCTGAGTAACAGCTTAAGTGAGCATCTCCAGTGCTGTATCTGTGTGGTTTATGTGTACACATGGTTAGCGTGCGAGGCTCATTCCTCTGTGTGTGTCTCTGTGTGTATCTGTTTGTCTGCATGCACACACGTGCAGTGTATGGAGGATGTGTGTGAGCATGAGCATGTGTGCTAAAGGCAATGTTTTTACTCTTTTTTTTTTTAAGGGTTGGCTTTTATTTGCCTCACTTTGAGATTTTGGTTTTTGCTTATTTTTGAGATTTATTTTAATTACACCATTTCCTGCTTCCCTTTGTTCCCTTCAAACATTCACATACACCCCTCCATTATATTTTTACATCCTTGGCATCTTTTGCCATCAATTATTATTGCATGCATATATATGTGTACACACACACACACACACACACACATATACATATTTACACACATACATATACATTCCTAACTATAACCTCTTCAGTCCATATAATGTTACTTGTATTATGTTTTCAGGGCTGACTGGCACTGGATAACCAACTAGTGTGCTCTTCCCTGACAATATTTGCTCTTTAGGGCCACACCTGTTGGCAGTCAGCAGACTGGACCCTACAGCCCAGAAATGAGGAGGAGAATATAGAGGCGATGCTTCAGAAATCAACAGAAGGAACCAGATTCCTAACTGCGGTGGTTTGAATGAGACTGGCCCCCATAGACTCTTATGTTTAAATGCTTGGTCCACAGTTAACGGGACTGTTTGGGAAACATTAGGAGGTGTGGCTTTTGTTGGAGGAGGTGTTTCACTAAGGGTGGGCTTTGCAGTTTCAAAGGCCTATGCCAGGTCCAGTCTTGTTCACCCTCTCTGTGGATCAGGATGTAAAGCTCTCAAGCACTGCTCCAGAGCCATGCCTGTCTGCTTCCTGCCCGGATGATCATGGACTAACCCTCTGAAACTGTAAGCAAGCCCCCAGTTAAATGCTTTCTTTTGAAGGGGTTGCCTTGGTTGTGGTATCTCTTTACAGCAATACAACAGTAACTCAGACACTGACACATTCCGAAACCAGTAACAATGACTCTCGTCTTGGTTGTATAGGTCTTCAGTTCTTGAATGCCTGGAAGAAATGCAGGATGAAGTAGCGCATGCTCTTAGCTGCTGGGGCGATGAAGATACTGCTGTGTACTTTCTCCCTGTCTGTGGCTTCCTCTCTCATGGTTCCTCAGCTCACAGCTCATGGAACTCTGAATTACCAAGGTCAGGGGGACCAACAGGAGCCTCTTTTGACTGGTCAGCCAGCCTAGAAGGTTAGCATGTGTACAGCATGTGAAAATGAGTGTAGAATTTCCAAATTTCATTAAGATTTGGAAACTAATCCTTTTGTATTCCTGTGCTGTCAGTTTAGTTGACCTTCCAGATTTGATAGCAGCTGGAAAGACAGTAAACACACAAATAGGTGTGTACTTATTAAATTAATATTGGATACTTTTAATAGGGCCAAGTGACAGGAATAGTGCTGGTATTGTTACCTGATTAATGAGCTGAAACAAATTTGTTGCTATAAGAATTCTCCTGGCCACCCAGAAGCCTTTTGTTTTCTTTTATGTTGAAGTACTTTTGTTTTACTGGACCAGTACTCTCTGTGTATTTAAGCTTCGTCAGAATTACAGCTATGTTCTTGTTATTTTAGGCTTTCTTCATTTGGCTCATCTTTGTCACCTCTGCAGGGTAGAGAGTCCACAAGTTTCTTCACTGAGATTACTTGATTTACACCTCAGCTCACTCTGGAGATTATTAATCAATAGTACTCGACTGTCTCCTAACTGAAAGATATTGGCTTCCCACTGCTGTCTTATTAGTCATGATTGAAAGCTATGCTAAGACTTACTTCTCTGTGGGGGGATAGGATTGAGTCTTACAGAGCTGTTCCATGTTTGGTGCCACACAGAAGTTACTGCTCAACCATGATAGATCAGTTGCCTTTGGACTATTTTTTGATCATGGCTAGTGGACCAAAAGATCTTGTTTTCATTTTGTGCTGTTTTCTTCCTATATTTAACACATTTTTCATTGGATCCTGAACTGTTGGCAATATAAAATATATTTATTTGAAGGATTTGGGTTGTGGCTAATGCTAGATTGCATGCTTAGCATGCATGAAACCCTTGGCTCAGTCCCTGGCACGACAAACAAAACCAAAACCCATATTGAATACATTGTATTTCTCTTTCCACTTACTTCCTTGGCATATTCTTCACATGTGTGTTGTTTTTTCAGTCCCATGTCATAAATTCTTTTTACTTTTCATGTGTGTGCATGTGTATAGCGTATGTGCATGCTAGTGTGGCGCTGGGGATTGAATCCAGAGCCTTTTCATGTGTGTTTTGATAGGTGTCCAAGTATAGTAACATATCACTATATGCACTTTTTACACAGATGCCAAGTGCCAAGAGCAAACATATGCTGGTGCATATGTGTGTACTGACATGTGGTTCTGAGGGAGGTCACATGTCAGAACATATATATATTCACATGTGTGCATTTTGAGTAGACACATATCTTGTTAACATGTTTACATGCATGCTACTCTAAGCATGGTCACATATCATGTATGAGCATTTTGATGTTTGTGGAAGTTCTGATCCTGATCACATTGGCACATATGTGCATGCTGACACACATGGCAATTCCAGGTATGGTCATATGTTGGCACATATGCACAGTTTAACATGTACACAAAGTTCTGAGAGTGAGCACATGCCGGCTCATATGCACATGTTGACAGGTGTGTAACTTCCAAAAGGCATCACATGGTGCTTATGTGCGTGTTTCCACATGTGCAGTTCTGAGTGTGGTCACATGTCTGCAGATCTGTGTGTTTACAAGCATTAAGTGCTCAGACGAATCACATGCATGTGCTTACATTCACTTGTGTGCAGTTCCCAGTGTGTTACATATCAGCACATATGTGCATGCTCACATACATGCAAGTTACAAGTGTGGTCACATGTTGGTACATAGTCATGTGTTCACATGTGCATTTGCTGAACATGATCATGCCAGCACATGCATATACTTTTCCTAGCATAGTCATCTTTGTGATATATGTTTGTTTACCTGTGTACAGTTCTATATGTGGTCATATGTCAGTATTTATGTACATGTTCACGTTCATGTAGTTCTCAAATATATTAGTATGTATATATATATGTTCACTTGTGTACAGCTGGATTTTTTTTTGTTTGTTTGAGACAGGGTTTCTCTGTGTAGCTCTGGCTGTCCTGGAGCTTGCTCTGTAGCCCATGCTAGCTTAGAACTTAGACATCTGCCTACTTCTGCCTCCTGAGTGCTGGGAATAAAAGTGTGTGCCACCATGCCCAGCGTGTTGTGTGCAGTTCTGGATGGTGGGAATATGTTGGATCATATTGTGAGTGTTCACATACAGGCAGTCCTAGGTGTGACTTATTACATCTTAACACATACGTGCTATTCACCCCTATACACTTTGTGAGTACAGTAAGATGCCAGTGCATATGATTGTGTCCACACAAGTGCAGTTCCCAAGCATGGCCACTTGGTGGTGTATGTGCGTGGTTACACACTGGCAGTTCCTGAGCAAGGTCATATGTTGGCACATGGTGTATTCACATGCATGAAAATCCCGAGTCCTGGCATATGTTGGTACATATGCATGTGGTCACTTGTGTAGTTCTGAGCATGAGTGGTCATATGCTAGTGCGTATGTGCGTGTTCACATGTGTACTGTTCCTGATCATTGGAATAGGTTGGTGCATATGCAAATGTTCACATATGTGGAGTCCCCTGTGGTTGCATGTGGGTGCATATGTAGTGTTCATATGTGTACAATTCCCAAGTGCAGTCACATATTGGTGTACATGTGTATGCTCACCTACATGCAGTCCTATACAAGGCCATGTCAGTGAATGTATATAGTGTTCACATATGTGTATTTCCTGACCATGTTTATATGTTGGCACATAGGCACATGTTCAGATGTGTGCACTTCTTGGGTTTGCCGGCTAGTATTTTGGTGTGTGTGTGTGTGTGTGTGTGTGTGTGTGTTTTCTTTCAACTGGACGCGTGCTAGAGTTATTTGAGAGGAAGGAACCTCAATTGAGAAAATGCTCCCATAAGATTGGGTTGTAGTCAGGCCTGTAGTCCATTTTTTAAGTTAGTGATTGATGAGGGAGTGTCCAACCAGTTGTGGGTGGTGTAGTCCCGGGAGTGGTGGTCCTGGGTTCTGTAAGAAAGCAGGCTGAGCAAGCCAGTAAGCAGCACCCCTCCATGGCATCTGCATCAGCTCCTGTCTCCAAGTTCCTCCAGTTTGAGGTCCTGCCTTGGCTTCCCTCAAGGGATGGTGACTCAGGAGATGTAAGTAACCAAATCAGCCCTTTCTTCCCCAAGTGGCTTTTGGTCATGGTGTTTATCTCAGCAGGAGAAAAACTAAAACACTAGACAGAGTGGCATATATATGCATGTTCATGTGTATGTACTTTCCGGGTATGGTCACACATCAGTGCATCTATGCATGTTCATATATATGGTCATATGTCAGTGTATATGTGTGTTTTCATGTGAATGCAATTCCTATTATTATATGTCAATGCATAAGGACATGTCCATATGTGGGCAGTTTCTCATCATGGTCACGTGTCAGTACAGATGTATGTTTTCTCATGTTTACAGTTACTGAGCATGAACATATACAGACACATGCACTTTCCAAGCATGGTCATATATGAGAGTATTCTCATGTGTGCATGTGAGAGTATTCTCATGTGTGCCGTTCCTGTTTGTGTTAATGTACGTGAATATGCGTATGTTACAAGGCATAAACGTAAAATGCATTAATAGTTTTTTATTCTTAACCCAATTTAAATTATTTGTTAAAGACTTGAGGCATAACATATACCTGCTTCTGCCTCCACTCCTGGCTTAAGCATTTCCTTTTTTGAATGTCTGTGAGGCATCAAAAGTAGGGTAAAATGTCCAGAGCAGGATGAAGTTTGGCATTTATGACTCAGATGATTATTTTTAAATATATCATTATGATGTAACACATTAAGATTATCTGTAAACTCTTAAAATGTCTTGGTCAGCCTTAAAGTATTTTTTGTTTGTTTATTTTTGCTGCCACATGGAAGAATGATTTATTAGAACAAATTTCATGACAAATCATATAAAATAACTATTTTCAGAAAGACCTCCACAAGACCACCTGAGAACAATGTACAGCAATACCTTCCAGAAGCCAGGCAATTAGGATACCAACGCCAGGTCGAAGGCTGGAGGGACAACGGAACTAAATGTGAGGAGGTACACCAATTTGTGCATTGAAAAAACAATTGTACAGTGCTGACCAGGGCTGGGAGGCTGGACAGCCATTTACTATGGGAGCAGGCTGTGGGCAATGTGTGGGACATGTGGGGGAGCAGCCAACAGGCTGGGCTGGCACCTCCTCCAGACAAATGCATGTAAACATCAGGTGGGCTAGGCAGAGGCCACAGGACCCGTGTATGACACTCTATCAGCTAAGTGTAAACAGAGACCCATGCTACCTCCGAGGGCTCTGGGTCTCCCACCACAGCTACCTCTCCCCAAGCAGACAGTCCTGATCAGGAGCAACACCCCCAGCACATCTGGCAGGGCATAGAGCACACCCATGCCAGCCTGGTTGATATGGGACATTCTTCATCCCATCTCAGCCAATGGGCTCTTTGGCTTAGTGCCTCCAGAAACATCAGCAAGGGACAGCAGCTGGGCAGCAGCTGGGCAGCCACACTCTGCTCACCTGGCAGGCCCCAGCCGAACAAATCCTGAGAAAGCAGAACCAGTAGTGGGCCTGTCCCTGCCAGGCCCCCACAGAGGATCAGGCCACAGGAATCTCCTGCAGTCACCACTTCGTGCCCACACACAAAGCCAGGAGCTTCCAAATCTTTTTTGAAGTGTTTTTTTTAAATGACAATAAAAAATATGCCCAGGGTTTTCTCTTACATAGGCTTGGCTAAGACATGGCTCTTGAAAAACTCATTGGTTTTTTAAAAGGCAGTAGTTGTATAAATATTCTTAAAACCTTTAAAAAAATTTTTTTTTGATTTTTCGAGACAAGGTTTCTCTGTGGCTTTTGGTTCCTGTCCTGGAACTAGCTCTTGTAGACCAGGCTGGCCTCGAACTCACAGAGATCTGCCTGCCTCTGCCTCCCGAGTGCTGGGATTAAAGGCGTGCGCCACCAACGCCCGGCTAAAAATTTTTTAGTGTTTTAAAATTGTATTTATATGCATATTCACATACAAAACTTATCTAAAAGCACAGAGGTGAGTTATTCTCTTAATCTTTGGAATAAGGAGTTTAGTATTTCAAAGGGGGACAATTAATAGATATATCCTAGAGTATGAGAACTCTTCTCTTAAAGTTAATTTTTACCCTCAATTAGTAGGGACCATGTTGTAGAACCAGAATTGAGATAAGGATCAAGGAGCTAACATCTTTATCAGAATTGTATGATTATGTATATATTGTTTTTTTAAAAAAATAAATTTAAAGACTCATTCTAATTGTTTCAAAGAAATGTTTAAGACCATTGGCCATCTCTGTAAATGTATTCCTTTGTAGTTTGTCATTTTGTTCCTAAAATTTTAACTTTACTATAAGCCAAAATGAAGTTGGGCCAAGTTAATTAATAACTTTAGTTTACATGAACACTTATTTTTGTTTTTATTTATTCTCTCTTACAATATATTCTTACTATTCCTCCCAGTCCTTCCCCCACCTCCCTGCTCCCCAGAACCAGGTCTTCCGTCTTCCCCCAGAAAAGACTAGGCCTCCCAGGGACATCAACCGAACGTGGCACAACAAGATACGATAAAACCAGGCACAAACTCTCACATCAAAGCTGGGCAAGGCAACCCAGTAGGAGGAAAAGGATCCTGAGAGCAGACAGAAGAGTCAGAGACACCACCACTCCCACAAAACCACTAAGGTAGCAGCCATAACGTACTCAGAGGACCTAGCACAGACCTGTGTAGGCTTTGCGATCTCTGTGATTCCCCATGACCTCTTCTTAGTTGTTTCTGTGGGCCATGTTCTCCTGGTGTCCTTGGTCCCTCTGACACCCGCTATTCCTCCCCATCTTCTGTGGTTTCTCGAACTTCAAGGGAGGGACCTTATGGAGATCTCATTTGGGCTCTCTCTCTATCTAGTGTTTGACTGTGGGTCTCTGCATTTGCTCCCTTCAGCTGCTGGGTGAAGCCTCTCTGATGAAAACTGAACTATGAACCAATCTGATTTGTGAGTATAGCAGAATATCATTCGGAATCATATTACTGGTTTTTTTTTTTTGTCCAGTCACATTTGGGAACACTTACTTATAAACCAATCTTGTATTGAGTAAATTATGTTGAAAAAAATCACATTTAGACAATGTATATATTTATAATCATACATAAGATATTTTTATCCAAGATGTTATTGTTTGTTGGGATTACACTTTTTTCCTTTCCTGTCTCTGATCCAATCCTTCCTTCATCTCTTCCCTCTCACCATAACTTCCAAAATTTTCTATAATTTTCTGCTACTATTGATGGTACACAGCCAATAAGTTCCTCAATTTCTGTGGGAGCTTTTTCCCTCTGTGGTCCTTTGATGGCCGATCATTATGAAACATCTCTCTAGAGACCAAATGTTTTCATCTTCATGTTTCTTAATATTGAGAGATGAAATGAAAATCCTTGTTCCTCACTATCTCCTCCAAAATATCTTGCACACACACGTGTGCACAAGCAAACACACACACACACACACACACACACACACACACACACACACACAGGATCATGTAAATTGGATATTCCTTTTTTCTATACTTTGACCATCATATTCTGAGTACTTTCATTTCATTTTCTATCTGGCTCTGTCTCTCATTTCTACCCAAAAGGTAGATCCTAGTTTCATTTTTGTTTTTGTGAGAAAATATCCTGAGAAAAACTGAGGCAGAGAAAGGGTGACTCAGCTCACAATTCTGGGTTCCAGTCTAACATGGCAGGCAAGTCACAGGGGCAGGAGCTTGGCACATCCAACATGCATGATTGCTTATGTTCAATTTGATTTTTCCACACTATACAGTTCAGGACTATCTGAAGTATATTGTAATCCATGTAAATTTTATAACACAGTGAGCTGGGCAATATTATACCAAGTTACAGGTGTTGGGGAATATGTTACAGTTGTAGAGTTGGAGAGATATCCTGACTTATTGGGAAGCCAGGTTATACTTCGAGCCACAATAGGACAGCTCAGCCCTAGAGGAAGTCAGGCTACCTGGAGCTGGGGTGCAATGGGGAATGTTCTCCCAGCAGGATATATAGTGATCCTACTCTTCTCCTGGAGAGCAGCTATAGCTGAGCTCTGCTCTGCTCCCTTAAGGGAGCGTCCTAGCAGGGCTATCTGCTTCTTCTCCTTCTCCAGCCCAAGATGTTTCTTCTCTTGCTAACACTCTGCTAAAGGGGAAGCCCCTACTCCTTTGAAAACTTGTTACTTTTTTCTGCCCAGCCTTGCTCAGCCCCCTTTAAGGAGTATCCCAGCAAGGTTCTGTGCTGCTCCACCTTGCTGAGGCCCCCTAGGGGGCATCTCAGCAAGGTTTTTCAGCTCAGTCCCCTAAGGGACATCCCAGCCGGGTTCTTCTAGTCTGCGCAGGCAAATGAAGGTTGTCACCCAAGACTCTTTGGAGAAAGAAATTTATTTGGGAAGGAGGAGTCCAGGAGAGTGGCTGCCTCTGCCAGGGAGGGATAAATGGTAGCCTTTAACTGAAGGGGCAGAGAGGCTTATACAGGGCTTCTTAGGGGAGGAGTTTTCCCAGGGAGAAGAGGAATTGGTTAGTTTTTCCCTGCTCAGGGATTGGTAAGTTTAGTTTGGTCAGGGCAGAGATGGCTCAGACTTTATGGCCAAACTGTTTCTTTCACTGGTCCTTTTTAGCTTTTTGACTCTTAGGACCAGGGCATAGTTCTGTCTCTAACTCTTATTCTACGGACAAAGTGTGTTTCTTTCTTTGACACTAGTTTCAAAGTCAGGGCATGTTTCTTTGGTTCTGGGCTCAGGGATAAAGATGTTTCTTTCCTGGCTCAGGTCTCAGATCCAGAGTGTGTTTCTTTCACTGGCTCTGGGTTCAGAGTCAGGGTGCCCAGTGATTGGTCGGTTTCCTACCCTTTGATTGGTTGGTGCAGTTGGGCAGTTGGGGCAGAGATGGCTCTGCCGTCATGGTCAAACTGTGTTTCTTGCCCTGGTTCTTTTTAGCTTTTGGACTCTAATCTTAGGAGCAGGGCACATTTCTCTCACGGACGCTGATTCTAGGGACTGTGACACTAGTTTCAGAGCCAGGGCACACGCCTTTAGTCCTGGGTTTAGGGATAAAGATATTTCTCTCCCTGGCCCAGGTCTCAAAAACAGGGTGTGTTTCTTTCTCAGACTCTGGGTTCAGAGTCAGGGTGTTCAGTGATTGGTTGGTTTCCTACTCCAGTTGTCCCTTTTACCCTACAACAGGTCTGAAGACATGAGACAGAGTGGTTAAATGAGTTTTTCTGTGTCATAGCCTAAAAGTAGCAAACCTGTACAATGAAATTATTTTAAAGCACAGAGCTGCAGCCCCTGCTCTGTGTGACTTGTCCTCTCTAAAATATTCTCCTGTACTCATTTCCTTCCATTGATTTCTTTTTATAGAAAGTGCTAGGAATGTGTTTAGATTCTTCCGTATCCAAATCCACCTTGTCCTTTTGGTCTAGGGCAATATTATCTCTGGCCTGGGTTGATCTAGTAACATCTCTCATACTCCATACATCAATCCTTGCTGGTTTCATGCTTGTTGTAAATACTCCCATCTGCAAATAAATCATTTAAGAACAATATCAGTACTTGATATCTTTCATCATGTTGTGTTCCTATGTATCTTAATACGCATGCATATTTTTAAAGCTGTAGTGTATAGGACACATATGAAATAGCCAAGAGTTTCTACAAAGAGATCCACAGGTTATCATGGTAACCCAGAACACAGTTTTATTTTTTTAGTAAATCCTTCTCATTTTAATTGTTTGGATAGGAATATGCTATACCTTTTTCCCCACCCCCCTTCCACCCTCTGCCTTCCCACCCCTCTCCCCCTGTCCTTCATGCTCCCAATTTACTCAGATCTTGTCTTTTTTCCCCTTCCTAGACAGATCCATGTATGTCTCTCTTAGGGTCCTCTTTGTTACCTAGGTTCTCTGGTTGTCTTTTGCTTTATGTCTATTATCTACTTATGTGTGAGTACATATATTTGTCTTTCAGGGTCTGGGTTACCTCACTCAGGATGGCTTTTTTCTAGTTCCATTTGCCTGCAAATTTCAAGATGTCATTGTTTTCAGAACACAGAACATTTATCTATGCATCCCTAGATGCTGTGATAGTGGTACAGTGAACAGGGGGCACTAGACATTCATCTGCAATATTGATTGCCTTTCTTTTAATACATGCCCAGAAGTGGTATTGCTGGATCATAGGTTAGTTCTCGTGTTCCTTTTGTAAAGAGACTTGTGCTTTATATAATATTCCCGCCTACAAAACGTAACAGGGTGCATTGGTATTCCATACAATTAAGCACACTATCTGTGATACTGGCAGGGTAAGGCCTTTGTATGAAATCAAAAGGAAAAATGACTGTTCTCTAAAAGTCATCATGGATGTGGAAATGGCATTTAGCCTGGCAGGGTCAGGTGATAGGGATTATAATTTACCTTTTGCTCTTTTTTCCAAATCTTATTTTGCATTTATTTATGGGTGAGTACATGCCACAGTCCATGTGTGGAGGTCAGAGAACAGCGTGTAGCAGTCATGTGCTTCCGTCATGTGTGGCGTGGGGATTAAACGTGAATCATCAGGCTTGTCCACAGGCACTTCGCCCTGCTTAGCCGTCTCGTAGGGCCTCAGTTAGCTTCTAAATCCCATAATGACGTACAAACTGTCTTTTTCTTTTTTGTCCTCCTGTTAATTCATCTGTGCTGATAACAAAGTTTTATAGTCAAAACTAATATCTCTTATTAATAGTTAATAAAGGGGAAACAAATTCTTGTATCATCAAGAGGCTGGAATAATTGAATTTAGTTTGAAACTTAGAAGTTCTATTAGTAAGGATCAGAGACAATCAGACATATAAATGGCACATTACTCCAAGATGAATCTAGATTTGGGTAAAAACAGTGTTCCAGGGAAGTATAGAAAGGACAAAGGTTTCGAAGGGTTAAATAACACTGGGCATTTTTTTTTATCCTAAATGGGGAAAAAAAAAATCAAACAGGCTCTGACAATGCATGTCTCTGATTTTCTTTTATTTTGTCTACAAGCCTATGTCTGAGAACACTGCCTATATCTGAGAACCCTGATGGCTGCCAGGTTTGTTCGTGGCTTTAAGGATGGTAAAGGCCATTTGGAACATGAGTTTCCCACCTCATTCCAACATCTGGTTCTTTCAGTTCTTGCTAAAGACATGAATAGAGCTTTCTTTTTTTATTTTAGTTTTCCCTTTTATTGAAAATAGATTTTTTTCTCACATAAATAATATATCCTGATTACAGTTTCCCCTCCCTCTATTCCTCCAGGTTCTTCCCAGTTTCTAACCCATTTGGATCTGATTAGAAAAGAACAGGCTTCTAAGAGATAATACTTAAATATAACATAAAATATAATAAGATAAAACAAAAACTATCACTTTAGAATCTTACAAACAAGCAGAAGGAAAAGAGCCCACGAGAAGGCATAAAAATCATATCCACTTATTTGCCCACTTTGGAATCCTATAAAAACACTAAACTGGAAGCCATAATATATATGCAGAGGTTCTGGTACAGAACTCGTGCAGGCCACAGCTGTATGTGCTGCTTGAGTCTCTGAGTTTCTCTGCTCCAGTTACTTTAGAAGGCCTTCTTCTCCCAGGGTTGTCTAACTCCTCTGACTCTTCCACTCCTTTTGGGTCCTCAGGCTTGTCTGCAAGCACCCTTACCTGCGAGCCATCTCACCGCTCCTCAGTTATCTTCTGAACCCCATAATGATGTATGAACCATCATTTTCTGAGCCCTGACGGGAAGGATTTGATGGATGAACCCTATTTAGGACTGAGTGTTGTAAGGTCTCTCACTTTCTGTATAGTGTCGGACCGTGACTCTATTTGTTCTCTGCTGCAGGAGGAAGCTTCTCTGATGATGGCTGAATGAGGCAATGATTTATAAGTATAGCAGAATGTCATTAGGAGTCCTTTTGTCACC